TATTCGGCCCTATTTTTTCCAAGTCTTCCTTGGAAACTGGGACCCTTGAAACCAGTAATATGAGTCCTTGTGTTTTATGTAGTGATCCCTTCCTCCTCTTTAGCCAGATGCACTGCCACAGACATTGGTGGTAATGGGGGTGGTGGGGGCAGAAAACAGTCTGCTTAGGCCCTGGGGAAAGCTGCTACAACAGTGCCATCAGTAGCTTCAGTACCACCTGCCCTCCAGCTACTCAGTGTCCACTGCTGGTTGAGGAGTGGCAGGCATCTGACCCATGTTTTTCTTGTGCTGAAGCAGCTAAAAGCTGCAAGATGGAAAAACAGCATCTTAAGAGGTTTTCTTGTTTTGTTTTTTTAATTAAGAAGAGAGTTTCCCTACAGTGAAGTTAGCACTTGAGAAGGTTCCAGCACCAGCCAGGGAAGATGACTGTAGAAGAGGTCCAGCCTGACCAAAAGGAAATCTGGCCATAAAAAAAAGAAGTATGACAAGAATATGAAATTTCAATTTTTGAGGTGGGATATGAAATATTCTCATCTTAATTTCTATACCGTGCATAGGTGAGGAGGGAGTTATCAAAATGTGAGGGAAATAAAATATATTAACAGTGATTACTGAAAGATGGGCCTTTCCCAATTTAGAAAAAAAAAAAAGAAAACAAAAACTTAAATTATTTAAAATGTTCCGATCCATTCGTGGTAGTTGCTGTGCTAGTTTTGCTGTGTATAAATTGAACTGTTCTAGCTGTTACACATAGGCTAAGAACAGATGTTGAATTTATCGCAGGACAGGTTGTGCCCGTGTTTGTCCCAGAACAGAGAAGTCCCAGGATTGGAATGCATGCATATCACCTTTCCAAGCAGGGCATAGCAAGCAAGTGAATGTGTTGCTGCTCCTCTGCCACTGATTCAACAATGCCATCCTGGGACAATGGTTAAGACATGTCACAATGTCCTGAGACAAAACTGTTAGCGCTTCTTATCTTGTGAACCTTTTTTAGGGTTTGTACCAGGACAGGCACCAATGTCTGAACAAGAACCTCTCTTCTGGAACAAGCACAACGTTGGTTTGTAGCCATAGTTGTTCCCCACTTGCTCTCTCTGCAAGAGTTTCAACTACAGTGAAAATTCAGCGCTAACACCTTTTGTTTACTCTTCACTGCCCTTGGCCATAATGGTGGCTTACAGACATGGTAAACAAAAACAAAACAGCACTTTCAGCTTGGTGTGCTTTTGCACTGAGCACAGTACATGCCCAGAAGAAGAACTGCATTAGTTTGACCCAGCTTGCCCAGCATCTGTATAGCTTTCATGCTTCAGCTGGGCTTTTTGGTGCTTTTATCCAATAGCCGATTCAATCATCTATTAGAATCAGCTTTTATCTAATAGCCAATTCAATCAGCTATCAGATAAAAAGCACCAAAAAGTCCAGCTGAAGCCCATGAGCTATACCAAGGCTAGGTGAGCCAGGTCAAACTGACATGATTCCTCTTCTGGTAAAGTACTAGTTTTATTCCACCCCATACCTTTCTGGTAAAGCACTCTGCATGTACTGATATTGTTTGCCTCTATCTCCAGTCATACAAAGCATGTTAGAACTTGATCAGTTTTCTTCTATGTTATTAGACCTCCACAGTTTACAATTATATGGTTGATACCATTCATTTATTTACTTCACAATTATTATTTGGAAATTTATAACTGGAGGGCTGTAGCAATCATCCTGAAGATGTTAGTGGGCCCAACAGTAAACAGATGTGCATCAAGCATCTACACTAGTAACACTTCCACAAACACAAATTAGCTTTTGAGCTTAGTCAGGCATTTTCCAGAACACACATGTTTTGATAGATTAGCAGTGTTTATATAATTTTAAAGGAAATAATGCATGCAAGCTCTTCTGCCTTACATCACGAGATAAAAAAAACAACACATACCTCCGCATATATAAATAGGGAAAAATTTCTGGCCTCATGTGGTGGTAGGAAGTTATTTGTAGGACTGCAGAATCCTGTAGCCTTCAATGCAGTACAGTTGTTTTGGTTTACTGGACAAAGTTACTTGAGGCTAACACAGGTTGTTTGAACAAACTTGGTTGGAAAACAAATCCAGTACAGTACTGCATTACCCCTCCACCCACTCCCACATGCACCCCCATGGTTGAAGTGAAGACAATATATGAAACTATATTACAAACATTTTTCATTTGCCTAATGTCAGATTTATAAATGGAGAATTAAAAAACTGAAGTCTGGCTTTGCTTTAATAAGTCTTCTCTCTCCCTCTTCTCCAGTCACACTGGTTCATCCTCCTGCAAAAACTTGACCTCCCCATTGCTCCCAGAGAATGAATAGATCACTCCTATTTCCCTCGCCCCCCACCCCCTCCCAATCATCCTCTTTTCCCCAACCCCTCTACACACCATCTGGTTTGCCATCACCACATGCACGGGGGGCTTCGTGTAACAGAAAGCTCATGTTGCTCCTGTGACAAATGGCATTACATACAGTTCTCCGTCACCCTTCTCCCCAAGCAGTTGCCCCAGTGAACTCTGGGGAGTTGTTGGGTAAACTCTGACTGTTCACACATTTTACCAAAATATGACAAACCTCTTGTAGGTACCACAGTGGGTGCTGTGCATGGCTGAACTTGTTGACAGCAGAAGGGCAACTGTTTTCAACATCTGCTGAATGGCGTCGTGGAAACCATGTTTGATGTCAATTTCTGGAGTGCAGCCATGGCTGCATTTGGATGATTTCCACCCCATACCCATATTTCTTTTCTCTTCAAAACACACACCTTGCTGCCTCATGCAAGTACATTGTTTACTCCCCAAAGCACAATACATGATCCTCTGAACAGCTCTGCATCTGCAACCTTCTTGCATTATGCACAGGATCTGTTTCAGATTTGCTGGATCAGGTCCATTGTACTTAAAATCTTTGTCTGGCAATAAATAGTCTGCTCTGGCAGTTCATCTCTTCACCTCCATGTCCATTTATAAACATAAAGGAAGTGTCAGAGTTAAACAAAAAAACAAAAAAGACAAAAATAGTAAGCATTTAAGTGCATACTGTGGTGACCTCTGAAGACATACATATTTTTTAAAATGAATATCATACATGCTTCTATTTACAGTGGGTAGCTTGCCATAGAGATGGAACAAAAAAGGTTGTCAAAGAAGCCAAGCTGAAAGGTCAAAATGATGGCCCAGATAGGGATTATCCCTGCAAACATAATAGGCTGACAGTCATAATCAGAAAACAGAGTGAAGTGAAAAATAAGCTATTATAGAACTGGAGGGCTAAAAAAGAATGTGAGGGAGAAAAAGGAATCAGAATGAGAGGTTGGTGCACCCAGTCCAGGAGACAACAGGAGCTACAGGCAAGCAAGCTGTCATATTTAAGCTGGAAGCAGCTAAATGCTAGGTGCTATTCATATGGTTAGGCCTCTCTCTGTTATTTTAGACCTGGGTCTCTGAATGATGCATTCCTATAGTTAGTATTAAAGGATGCTGTTTGAGGAGGCTGTGTGGTACCTGTGTGTCAATCATTTGTAGTTACAAATTCCAGCGGGAGGAGGGGGAGAAATCAAATGAAGGGTTCAAAGCCCAGTTGGACCCTGTAACAGGGAACCAGAAGCTCCTGTGACTTTAGGAAGAACTCACTGCAGAGCAATAGGCTGCACAGGGGGGAAACCACAGAATCTCAGGAGCAGATCTCCAAGCAGCCCAGAAGGAATAACTGCAGAAAGAACTACTTGTGACAAGGAGGGTTGGGACTTCAGAGGCACATAAAACCAGTGTGAGAGACTGGGCAGTCAGTCTGCGCTTTGGGTGGCAGGGAGAAGATCTCCTGAACAGAGGAGTGCCTGGTTGGCATCTGAGCTGCCCTAGGGAATGCAAGTAAAGTGCTGATGGCTTGCAGGGAAATAGGACCCAGGGTAAGGGGAAGTTTGGTTGCGCAGCTAGTGAGCTGGGGTTTATATTCAGGCTCAGTGTAGGCATAGTTTGTGTTGTAGCTGGTGGGCTCACACCATTTACACTGGTGGACTGATGGCGACTACAAGAGGAGGAGGTCACATAGTGCTAGAGGAATACATAGCATTTTGTAAGAGCCTCTGTGAGAGGCTGGGCTCATAACGCAGGTAGGCAGTGACTAATAAGGCCAAAGCCAGGAGACAGAAGCAGCCTGAAGCGGGGAGGGCCAGGGGCCTGTAGCCTGAGAGGGTGGAAAAAGTAGTCTGAGACTGGGGCTGAAGCTCAGAAGCCAGGTCCAGGGTAGCGGGTTGAGGCAAAAAGGCATGACTAAAGAACCTGGGTGAAGGCTGGCAAGGCCCCAGTAAGGGTCTGAAGGCTGGAGGTGGCATAGCATTTTTCTTGGGGGCAAAGTGTCCTACCTAAGTGATGAATGACAACATGTGTGAGGCATAGGCATGGCTGTAGGGGAAGTCAGAGGCCACAGAATTAGGCCTTAAAGCAGTGAATGCATCTGAGTGTGGATGGGCCAGGAGGGTCCCACCTAGTGCCTGAGGGCAGGACAGTGATTAGCAGGGTTCAGGAGGAACCCACTGACTGATAGTGAACAAGGGCTTGCTTTGGGACCCAGAGGCAGCCTTCCTTCCCATGCACCAATATCTACATCAAGGCAGGGCAGGCAAGGGAAGAAGGAGGGTACCTTAAGAGCCAGAACAGGGCATGAGTTGCAGGGCCACCAGAGGGGATCACGGCCACCCCTTTGGCTCCATCCTGCCACAGGCTTGCTGAAGTAAAGTAATACTCAGAGGGCTGTAACCCAGATCTTATCAAAAGAAACTCCACCCCAGGAGAGCTAAAAACACGCCAAGCCTTAGGGGGTGCATGCAATTGAGACCTAGGGAAGTGACATTTGTGGTAACCCATACAGATGCTAATAACCAGAGTACAGTTTAAAAAAAAAAGTGTAATGAACTTAAGAGACCAAAGTTACCTTTTAAAAATCCCTTAAGGGATTTCTCTCTCCTAAGGTATATTAGAAGTAATAAAAAATCTCTGCTATAGCAAACCCACAGTTTATGAGCAACTAGGAAGACCTCTAGTAGCCAATAGAAGAGCTGTACTGATTGGGTTTGCACAGATCAGGTAAGTCTTCTTTTAGTTTTGGTTCTCAAGGACCCCAAATTCAGACAGAGATCTGCCTAAGACTCTGATTCATATAGGAAGCCTATGGCTTCACCAAGTTGTACTCAATTCCAGAGTACAAAATAAAGTCAGCAGAAATGCCACAAAACCAGGGTTAATGATAGGGAGAGTGACGTAGCTCAGACTTGAACACACCTTCCCAGAGACTTGGGGTTTAAACATGATGGGACAAACTTGGCAAGAATCTCCATTTGCATTCCTTCCAAACAGCTTCATAGCCAGCAAGCTTCAAAACACAGAAACCAAACAGGACAACTCTTACCTCTACCCAGACTTTTCCTCCTGGCTTCTGGTCAGCATAACTCCCTGCCTGTCTCTTCTCTGAGGAGTAACCCAACTCCTCCAAGGCATGGAGCCTATCAGTTACTAGGTTCAGCTGCACCTAATTAGCTCCCAGCTGCAAGTGCCTCCCTGAGCTAATTCTATATTCTGGCTTGGAATTAACCCCTGAAACCACAAGCCATTGCCTGGGCCTTCAGCTCTCTGGGGCACAACTCTGGGAGCTGGAAGAATTATTATAGGTTCACCTCCCAAAAGGCACAAAAATCCCATAGTCACTCTTCCAGCACTCTCAGATGTATATCTCAGTCTTGTTTCAGACACTGAATAGTCATATAATTCTTTAAAATCTGAATTGCTGTTCATATTATGACCAAAATCCAAATCAGACAATACTCATTCTGAGGTCTACACTGGTCTAGTCCTCAGCATCAGCCCTAATATCTGTGATATAAAAATCCAGACAGTGAAGAAGACTTTTGTCTTTCCTGATTTCTGACCTGCAGCAGCATCTTACATAATTTACTCATCCCAGAATGCACATCTACAGCCTGTTACTATTTGCTTTGCAGTCCCCTTATACATGCAGCTGAAAAAAATGACAAGATAGAAAGGGTTATTGGGGCTGTCAGCCTTGTGATGTATTATATCAGCAGGCAACAAGTAGAAGGCCTTGGAAATTACCAGGCTTTGTAATTTTATTTATTTATTGTTTTTAATTTTTTTTAAACAACCATTTAGTAGATAAGAGGCTCTTAATAGGGAAAGTGCTTTTGTATTAACCTCTCAAATTCTGCTACTGAAAGGACTCTCCAAGCTGACTATTACAGGAGATGTTTTGACAACAAAACAGTGCAGCTATCATTAGCCTGATAAAAGGGAGCCACAGTTGGGGTATTGATGGTATATGTATCTAGGATATAGTTACAAAATGGACTTTTAACCACATTCTCTCTCATGATCTCATGTGAGAGGCCATCTTTAAAAAATGTTTTTTGCATTTCTTCAGTAACTTTGGATCTTCATACTTATGAAAAATGAGACATTAATAATCCTGATGAGAGCCAAGCATTGTGCAAGCTTCCTTACTTAGCTTAGTCAACACATTTCAATCCTGAAAACAAAAGCAACAGTGAATCTATCTTAGCAGAGAGGCATTATAGCTGGCTGTGGTCTGTTTTTTCTGAAACATTCAGAAAAGAACTCTACTGAGGCTACCAGTCTCAGCTACCTTCTGACTAGACCTATATTTGAGTCTGTGTTTTCAGGGCTGACTCATTAGTGTATTATATCATTGCACTGCCTAACCCCCAAAAGCAACCCTGACAGAAATTAACAATAGAAATACCATTGTGGCAACAAGTGATGAATGGTTCCAGGGTGTAACTTAGGCCTAGTCTTTGTTCAAGAGAAAGCTGCTGCTGCTAAATAAAGAAATGGAAATGTATTTTCTGGGCAATATATGGAGAGAATTAATATATCATATATGGAATAAACTCGTCATCCCATTGTCCCAGATGTGATTTCTAAGACCTGTGAATGTCTTCTGTGTGAGAGACAGGATGATCTTGAGAGGGCTGCCAGTCAAACTCAAGAGTACCAATCCATGAATATCCATTGCCTCCATGACCTTGAACCAAACATGTAGTCTCTCTGGCCACATCCAGACAAGGGCAGATGTTTGGTTCCCTAGGGACAGCTAGCAGCAGGACACCTTGTGCCACTGCTAGTTGTCCCTGGGGAATGACTGTGCCACGTGCCCTTTGGTGTGCAGCAGGTTACCTCAGGTGGGGTAGGGGAGGCTGGGACCAGCAACTGTGCTGGCTCCAGCAGCCTTACCTGAGGTCCTGGGGGCCAGGGAAGCTGTAGTCGCTCCTGCAGCTTGGAGCCTGGCCAGCAGCCGGAGCATGGCTTCAACTGGCCAGGCTCCAGTTTTGGCTGGGCACACTGCCTCCATGTACACTGCCCCCCTATTTTTCTGCTTGGGTTTTCTTGACCCCTGGATCTTCAGGGGTCAAAATCCCTCCCCCCCGTGCTGCAAGTTAGCAGTGTGGGAAATGCCTGAATGCGCAGCGTGTGGAGCTGCAGATGGGTTTGTGGTGTCAGCTGCACTCGTCTGGATACGACCTATGAGTCTCAGTCTCTCATCAGCCGTATGGGCAGTACTTGCCTACCTCACTGTGAGCCCAGTTTATGGCTTGGTATAATCTTACAGAATATGGCCCTGTGGTATAGAGTCTATGGCAAGGAGAGACAATTTTAACCATCTAGTCTGATGATCTGCATACATGCAGTCTGCAGTATTCACCCCAGAAGCTGAATTAACATATGTCTTTTTCTAGAAAGACAGCTAATACAGAAGACTAGAACTTTGTTTCTAAAGTATTAAGCTAGCAGAACACAACCTTGCTAACTTGTCCCTGTAGAACAGAAGCGAGTATCCCTGATAACAACTTGCTGTGATTTGTATTTGTTGTCAGCACATCACAAAATTCACAGCACTAGTTTCAGTAAATAAAGCTATTGATTCTTGCCTTCTACTGTTGGACTCTGAGGCATGCTGGTTCTGCCTCTGGGAATTCAATCAGGGGCATACTGAAGTTAGAAAAATAATCAATATTCAGGTTTTTTTATCTGAAGAATATTTCCCCAGGGAATCATGGACCCTAGGGGTTTTTTTGCTGGCTACTTTTAAGGTATGCTTTAAGGCTCATGATTTAAAGTATGATATCAGGTATGATTTACTGTGGTAGGATTAACCTTGCTGATTCCCCCTGCTTTCCCCCCCACCCCCTCCCAGATTTCTTTCTTTGTTCTCACTTTTTTTTCACCCCCTTTTTGCCTGGTCCTTCCAGTAATTTCCCGGAAGTCCACAGGTTTAACAGAGAAGTTTCTGCTCTATTTGAGGGCTGCACGTTTTTATTGTAATGTGGTGCACTGATTTTTATTGCATGATCCTTAAATGCTATCTTAAATAAGTAGTCTAAAAAGGAACAGTATATAAAGGAAGATGGTGTACGTCTACACATTGTAAGACAAGTGAAAAGTGAAGATTAGGCTTTGAAGATTTTTAGAAGGGCCAGTGATTCATGGGGCAATTTGAGTCATGTGTTGTCTTTGACACCTCAGCAAACTAGATCAATAGCCCTCACACAATAGATAATATTTGGAATAACAGAATAAAAGCAAATCAGTCAACATCACAGTAAATTATTTGTTTTTACTGCTGTGGCGTTGAATCCTATGGGGACAAAAATGTGCTTAGTTTTAACACATGCAACCCTATCTTTTTGTACCTAACAGACAACCTAGATTCCTTTCAGGCTGTACATATCAGCTGGATGAAACAACTGATCTTGACTTTAGCATTAGGGGCAAAGAAGCAAACAATGAACTGAACTTAATGAACTCCTGAATTTTATTTTGTATATCATATTAGGCAAAAGCATGGAATGTGAATCATAAAAGATAATTTTAAATTGCTCCTGATTTTTCCAATGTTTCGAAACTCATTTTGGAGGTCAAATTGCTATGTAAGAACTAGGTACTGGATTTGGCTTGATATCCCTGGAAAATCCTGACACTGCCTTTATGCTCTTTGTAGCCACCTCTATCATTCAAGAGCAGTTGTATATTGCATCAGTAAAACACGGTACATTACAAAAGTACTCTGACTTGGCATCACTGATTTCTTTTCCAGTGGAAAACTGACCTACCAGGCAACAAACAACTGCTGCCACTTGGATGAGGGGCAGCTACATGCAAAAAAAAACTATACAGGGAGTGACTTCTAGAATGTATAGAGGCATAAGTAAGTGGAGTACCTCTCTGAAAGTTAATAGTGACTCTATTAATCATGAACGGCAGCAAGAGAGTAAAAGACAATTTTAAAAAGAAAAAAATTAAACAACTAAAAACAATTAAAAAGCCTTCGGATAACACAGAAGGAAGGGAAGGAATCACTTTCAGAACTGCAACTCCAGGCTTCCAGTTGATGTGTCAGAGTTTGGCATCTGTGATAGGGTTGGTAGTTCCACTGAGTGGCTAGGGTTATGTTTGTTCTCCAGCAAGGCCATGATCCATTACCAAGAGCTGCTCAAATCCCAGGTATCTCACTGTATTATTATTTACTGGTACTGCAGTTAATAGTAGGGGTAAGGAGACCAGGGTATGAGCCCTGGGTGCTTTGAGGGCACTGCCCTACTGTGGGATCAAATTCATCCTAGTCCCTTGCCAGTGGTGACAGCAATTGGTGGCACTTGGGCAGGGGGTGAGAGTTGGGGCTGGCTTGAGGCTTCGGTTGTGGGGAGCAGGAGCAGGAGCAGGAGTGTCCCACAGCTGGTGGGAGAGCTGCCAACTCATGGTGGTCACCTTCTCAGCCTCATACCTCTCTCCCAGCTGATCCATGTGCTAGGCTGATACATGGTGTTATATGCCTGTCCCAGCGTTACGTCTAGTGTCTGGGCTCACTGTGAGAATTGCCATGTTTTCCACATGTATCTGACTCAATGAGGGCATAAATTGAAATACTACTTTTCTACATCCCTTTGAAACCCTCCTTTCCTATAGATTTTTCTCCCAAGAGAACCTATCCTGCATTTTTATTGTATCTGCCATTAGCAGCTGCCTTGTGTACAGGACACATGTATATCTTAAAATATATAACCCCTAAGACTGTCAGAGCCTTGGGGGCAGGGACCATTGCCAAAATGTTTTAACCCATGTGCTCAGAGTTAAGCTTTTAATCTGAGACACCAGAAGTGGACTGATTTTTAGAAGTGCTGTGCCCCCATTGACACCAATGAAACTTCTAGAGGGCCACACCAAACACTAACTTTGGCTTCTGGTTTGGAACATTATGGCCCTTATCTTTATCTTTGTTCCTAACTTGCACAGGGCAGACTGAGCTGACAGCGCTTCAAAAGATCATTTAAAACACTACCAGAAGTTTCTAAAGGATCGGAATTCTGGATTTTTCAAGTTTTATTCAAAAGTAAGTCTAGTTCCCACGGGCTTTTACCCTTGATTCTTTCATCTCCCGGCGTTCAGGCCCTATTTGAAGGCTAGCTGCAGGGTATATTTACCGCCACTAGATGGTGCATTTACAAAGAAAACTAATTTGGTTCATCCCCAGACGTTATCAGAACAAACTTTTGGCTCATCTGCCCTTCAAATACACTCGCACTCTCTGTACAGTTTGCGCCTGCAAAGGTTTGTTTGGTTTTTTTCCACATTTTATTTTGTTTTGATCACAAAGTGCAATGATGGTCACCCACCTCGTGCACTCTGGCACAGGCGGCGTGAAAAGACGGCCAAAAGCGCATGCCATCGGGGAACAATTGCCAAACATGCCTAATAGAAAATGACGCTTCTGTTACGCCGGGAGCACGCGGAGAGGAAAACAACCCCCTCCCCCTCCAAATATCCAGTCGATGTGTTTACAGCGGGAGCTTTCTGCTTGCACCCGGCCTCCCCGGAAACGAGTCCGAGCAGCTCGCGGTGCTGAAACCGAGCGGTTCAGGACTGCGGATCCGCTCGCAGAGCCCGCCCGGTGCAGGTGTGTCAGGACTGAAGGGGGGTGCCGGGAGAGAGCCGCAGCCAGGCGCTGGCTGCACTGTCGCAGGGTCACTGGGTCAGTGGGATATTTACCCCCGGCTTCGCTCTGCCCGGCCGGGCAAGCTGGACCCGCTCTTTCAGGTCAGGTTTCCAGTCCAAATCAGGCAGCCCGTTTATTGGGTTTTTGTTTGGTTTTGTTTTCAGAAAAACACGCCGGGGAGAACAATTCCAGCACCACACCCCTGTTATCGCGGAGGTAACCTCCCTGGCCGATGTATTTGAAGTGGATAATAACGAGTCACCACATCCGTCTCGGCTCCGCGCGCGGCCGCGCACAGCCCTCACCCCCGCGCTCCCTGCGCGCCGCGGGGCAGCGCCACCGCCACCGCCACGG